GTGGAGGAGCCCTCAGCAAAAGCTGAGGAAGAGAGTCGCAAGACAAAGCCATCGCAGGTAAACAAAGAGAGGAAGAAGAGAAGTACCAAAGCCACTCCGAAGAAAGAGAAGCCATCTGCGTCCAGCAAGGTTGAGAAGAAAACCAAAAAGGGATCAGAGGTTGAAGGCAGTGAGAAGGAAGGAACAGAAAAGAAAGAAAAGGTAGGAATGGACGAGAAGAAGAAAGCTGAGAAGAAGGCAAAGCTTAGCAGAAAAAGTGCGGCGTATCATGCTGCAAGGAAAGCAGCATTGGAGGATGGCTGCACAGAGGAGGAAGCAAAAGAGAAAGCAAAAGATGTACCTGTGGCTGCACTAAGCTATATAGTGTACTGCAGTGCGGTATATCTCAAAATGCATGTCCACACATATCAAGACCAATTTGAACATTATTTTCGATATCTAAGGCCTACAAAGCCACTGAGTGAGAGTTTTTTCGTTTGATCGATCCTGCACTGACCAGCTGAAATGTTGGTCTGTCTCTTGGGGTGACACGTGGGCGGTCGTGCAGGGACAGCTCAGCAGCGTCCATGCGTTAGCGGCCACTAGATCACGTGACTTCGAGCTTGGGGAACACCAGGGAAAATCGAAAGCCTTGCTTTCACCAGATTGTGTCTGATATCGATTGTTTGCTATCAACATCAGCCCTAAAAGAATCATCTTGAACACCTTTGGTCTATAGCTGGATTTTCGAATTTCGAGCTGTGTAGGGACATAGTTTATATCTTGCCACCTTGATCCCCTGAGTTTCAACATCCTGACTCTTCACCCTTGCAGGTGTTTGACCTTGTCACCTCAATCCCCTGAGATTAAACTTTCAACATCCTGACTCTTCACCCTCGCAGGTTTTCACTATGGCTGAGGGCTGGGCAATCCGTGCAGCCAGTTGTGGAGGTCATTCCCGCCCTTTGCGCACCGTGTTTGACGCTCAAGAATTTGATTTGTGGTCACTGTACGATTGAAATCGAGTTGAACATTGATTCATCCCGCAGCTAGCTGTTCGCAAGGGTTGAGCCCAAGACCACTTTTGAACGATATGCATGAATCGATGGTGGTTAATCTTCTCCATGTTGGAGCACCAAAGGTGGGGTGTTGGTACCATATGCAGTGAAAAGCATGAGCTACTTTCCTGGAGAGTGATTTCTGATCATCCCTGATCCAGATTCTCATCGCTGTGGTCTTGATGCTGCAGTGGTCCAAGCAGCTCCCTGAAATCAAGCCTCGATTTCACTTCTTGGATTTATTTGCTGGGTGTGCCCAAGCACATGCGACGATGAGCCTGAGCATATGAAGTCCTGCAAAATCTCATCTAAATTAGTTTAATATTTCACCTGCGCTGCCTTCTGAGGACATCCAGTGGGTACTCATGCGCCAAGATTGATGAGATTTACTGTAGTGGTGAGCGAACAATGAACTTCTTGTCTGAAGCTGGCTTCCTGTAAACTGGCTCACTTAGTCAGTAATGACTTGTACCGTACATCTGTCCTGAACTTCCCTGTCCCTGACCTGTATCTCAGGCTGGTGCTTCACACTGTCCTCTGTGAGGTGGCAGAGGCATTGAACCTGATGGGACCAAATTGCAACTCATGGGGCATGCCTGCAAGAGGGACATCAGCACGGACATATATAAACGTTTTTGGTGCTATGCAATATGATTTTGTTCAAGAAGGAAATACTACTGTAGCCCGGACTCT